GAGCACTGTGGTTTCATATTTTTCGGGTGATCCTGTTAATTCACCAATGTACCGTTATTCACTTTTCCTATTCACATAATTTTAATGGTTGCTAGTTGAGCAAAAAATTTGAGGCAAATTTCATTCCTCATTCCCGCCTTCAGATTTCATGAATTGCGTCACATGAAAAAAATGTGACGAAATAACACGCACTGCTGCCTAATGAATATAACAGACTGTACAATTATGTGAAGCAAAAAAAAAAACAGACAAAAAAAACAAAGATAAAGGCAGGCTATGCAACTAATGTTGGATGACCGAACATCTGCTTGACGCAGTTGTGTTCGGCCTTCAAAACAGATAACAGTATTGCCACAGAAACACAGTGACATGAAAATTTCAGGATCATCTACTTAATTCATCCAATGTTAATGAATATTCGCTTATCCAAACCCCCCCCCCCTCCTCCCTTCCCTCGCCCCTTGCCTCTTTAAATTTCGCTACAATTATGAAGCCACTTTTTTTAATTTAACCACTACAAAAATGATGAGTCACTGCACACCTAAGTGTGCTCCCTTCAGTTTACAATGACCGTTCAGATACATACAGATGCTACTGATAAATATCTACAATTTAGTATCCGAAAACAAAGAGGAACATGTCAACTGAACAAAAGATATTCAAAAAAACTACTGCCTTCTCCACAACAGAAGTCTGTTTTTTGGATTTTCCCGTGAGAACTAATAAAGAAATTCATCGAAATTTTTCATTTTTTGCAGATTTTTCTTCAGTAACTTCACAAAATCATACGGTTGCACTATGACACTAAAGCTAGTAGAGTTAGGCAAAGAATCAATTCGTTTTAAAATCTCGTCATTTTTTGAAAACAAATTCAATGCTTGCCCATTGATGCATGTGATGCACGCTGGTGCTGAGCCTGAATGAGTGACAGCAGGCACTGTTGCACGGATACCAACATTCCAAACCAATGATCCTTCAAGCACATCGGCCAGCTAAAACAGTTGTAAATCATTTGCTACACCAAACAGATAAAGCAATTACAATGTTGAACAATGCCGAACTAGCTGCAAAGCAAGGAGGAAGGAGGGTTGAAAATGGACTCCCTTCTGGGGAGAGGTGCGGTAGGGAAGGGGGAGGGGAGAGGAAGAGGGGGCGAATATAGTAAACATGAAATACTTGGATCAACTGTTATCTCCCAATCTAATTTTTCCAGTTAGACAGCCGATAGCTTTTCAAATGCCTTGGTCAATACTGCCTACATTAGCCGCTGGCCAGCCTGCGAACGATCTTGAACTGACCAGCAGCTCAATGGCTCTTTTGACAGCATTTGGTAAGGTTTTAACAGAATGAAGATATCCTCGGTACATGCTGGGCATCACCATCCAGCCCGAAACGTTGTCTCTTTCAGGCCACGACAAGATAACTCCTTTTCATATGCACCCAGCGCATCAATTCAAAAAATAGATTTAACGATCAAAAACAGTAACAAATCATAAAGGATGCGAGAATCCAATAATTACTGATGCGCAGTCTCAGTGGAAGCGCTTACCCTGATTTTATGTTTGTGCAAGATGAGGCCGGCATCAAATTTATCGCCCATTTTTTGCAATTTGTACACTTTCCCATATGGCACTTCATGGATCGTCAGGTTCACCTGAAGATGGAAATCATTTTGAAATTGTTGGAAAATTAGTTCGATTGCAAAATCAGTATTTACAGAACAACCCGTCCTGTCAACAACTGAACCCAGAATTTTTGGTACATGGCTCAAACAGTGATAAAAGTATGTTGAAATAAGGAGGCACAAGACCGAGGGATAATTTTTTATCATTTCTTTTTCTTCCACTGAATCCATCAAGACGGCATTTCGAAAACTGAACGGAAACAGCGAATTGAACATTTTTAGAAGAGAAAAATTGTAATAATTGCCGTTACAAATTTTCTTAACAAAATATGGCCCCTTCAAAATTTTCCCTTGTCCCAGCTCACTGGAAACGATCAAGCATTCGTCAGTGTAAAAAATGGCTAAGAATGTATTGTCGCATGCTGGACTATTTCTTAGTGCTAACAAAAATATGCATTAGAAGCTGAATGCCGGGCTATTTAATCTGTCAACCCTATCCTAGCTGCACATACAAGGCCTTCTTGAATCTTCTTGACAGGGATAAATCTTCTGCTGCATGATTTGGAGCATGTATCATTCATGATCATTACGTGATTAGCATGATAACAGAAAAGGTGATAAAGATGACAATTGCCACCGTAGACAGGAATTCAAGCAAAATGATCTAAGGAGAAAGCACTCCAAGACAAGCAAGCACAGGCATCGTGACAACAGCTTAGGTTTTTTACCCTGTCCTCTTCACCCCACTCTTACTCCTTCTAATCCCACAATCATATCGTTTCCCCTTCTGTTTCTACCTTTATTCTTTTTCTTTCCTCTCCTTTTTCATTAAGCGTAGCGACCGTCACACTGACGAGGTGTTGTCGCAGTGTTAAGACTTATACGACTTAACGGACCGAAACGTCTTATCTCACTTTTTACCTTCTTTCTTCATTCTGTTCTTTCATGCTTTAATCTACTGTGCCTTCGCCATCTAGGCTTCCATGGTCAATCTGGTTGCAACAATCGGCTAAGCAAAAATAAAATTTAGCAGTATAATATACCGGTAGTCCGGATCGTGACACAGAGTGCAAAACAGAATTCAACTGCTGCGTGCTATGCACACCAACACCATCAACTTGCACAAGCTGATCACCAACGCGCAGAGGAACCGAAAAGCTTTTATCAGCAGAAACAGTCCAACCTGCTATCCTGAAAAAAATGCCAGTAAAGATATATGGCCTCTTATTATAATTTGCTTTTCCTTTTTTACTACAATTTTTTGGAGAACCAAACCCGCTATCAAACTGCTCCTAAACAACATAGAAAGGAGGAAGCCATCGACAGCCTTGTCTTTTGGTACCTTTTACTTAAACATGCTGAGGGAGAAAATGCCGATGAAATTCTGCCGTTTCAAAACCTGTTGCGCGCACGCCCATAACTAATATGAGATCTAGCAAACCAAAAATAAATGGCCAGCGCATCGACTGCCGATGAGATGCGAAGATGCTGGATTTTTTTGGACTTGGCCCAGGACCGTGTCTAGGCAAATGTAAGTGGAAACGGTGTCCACGTCCCCCTCACGTACGGACACGTAAAATCTGACGTAACTCCGTAACCGGAGCAGCTGGGGCGCTGAAAGTTCCTGAGCTTTACCCAGGATCGTGCCTGAGCAAAAGTACGTGAATACAGCATTCACGTACGATTACGTGAAATCTGGCGTAGCTCTGCAACCGAAGCACCTAGAGTGCTGAATTTCTTCGGCATTGATTGGGAGTCATTGTAATAATTTCTAACAATCGTGGTGGCTACTCTCAACTCTCTTAACTAGAAACATCTGTTAGAAAAAAACAGTGCCATTAACAACAAAAACCTCCGGGAAAACAGCGCAAAAAACGCATCTTCGTACCGGCAGCCGGTGCACTTCCGACTAAGTTTGCATTGCATACATATTAAAAAAGCATAAAAATCGAGAATATACTGACCATACTTTACCAGCAAAATCCACATATGCGATATGTTCCAAACATGATGCATCAAGCTGCAGAGATACATTATCCAAGGTGTTATTCTGACAAGTTGGGTCTTTTTCCGATGTTGCAACTGTAGTGAGTGTTCCACAGGGCGAAGCATATCGAGGTGAGGAACCATCACTGGTAACACATCGCTGTCGTGTTAATTTGATGTTCAAAGTTCCACATGGAACTGAGTAACCCCGCTTCACCGGTGTCACAGATACATCCGCTGTCGCTGGGGCTGGAACTTCGGCGTCTAACAATGACGGTGACTCCAAAGTGCTGCAAAAAAATCTCTAAAGTTTTACCATCGTGCAACGGACGCATTGTTAGCTGGCTTTTTTTCGGGGTCAGAAGAGAATGTAATCAGTGGCCCTTCTTCCTTCCTCCCCCCTTCCCATTCCTTCTTTCTCCCTCCTCAATGAGCTGGCACAGTGCCAACAACAACCACTCGCTAGCAAACGAATTGACAGGAACGGACTATTGTTCGCAAAGACAAAAACCGATAGTCCGGGATTTTGTGCCTCAAACTGCAACATGCAAACACTAATAAAATGTACAGGAGTAAAAATACGATAGTTACAAACCTATATAAGTGATCAGATGAGTCCGGTGAGCGGTTTTCTCGAGGCGCAGCAGTTGGTGAAGCGGTAGGCGATGTGGAAGGTTGATTCTTTGGATGGTCGTATATTGAATAATGCTGAAAAATGCCTAACTGTTAGGGCTTTTTCATTACGATATCTACGAAAAATCGCGTCCAAACCGACATAGAGACCCAAAGCACTAGGCCCTTGCGACGTCATTCTGGGTAGTATCTCAAAAAAGAAATTTTTGTTTCAGGAAAGAACGAACATTGTTCACCGCTGTTTGCGAATTCGGAATTTGCACAGATGGAGCAATGCGTGGTGGAAGTGTTGGCGGAGAATCGGCTGAAAACTGGCTTTTCACTTTCTTGTTGTTTGTTGGTCGAGACGGCGGCGCCACTGGAGGTGGAATTCTAATTGTTGGTGTTGAAGGTAACGAGAAGCAAACGTGCCCATAGTCGCAGCTCCTTGCTCCATGCGACTGCAGTGGGGGTGGTGCAGATGGAGCAAACCCTTCTGGCACCTATAAACCATACTGTAGCAAATTATTTCGGGGAAAAAAAGAATTCATTACTATTCAAACTATGTAAAATTCGTAACCTGAGATGATGGAAAGAAGCGGCCACGGAGGCCCAACCAAAAGCAGTCATTCCAAACAGGGTTGTGGTAGATGAGGGGTGGTAATCTGCGGTCGTAGGTAGGCCAAGGAATAACGAAAAAGGTAGAGGACTGTAAAGGAAGTCCAATACAGCTGAATTCCATATAGTTCAAGGCTGGACGGACAGAATTTATTAAAGAATGGTGGCGAGTAAGATAGCTGGGAGTCAGCAATTAGTTATACGTGGAAACTGGCTTCCGACTTCATATGAGAGTCGGTGCTACGGATTTTACGTGGAAACCAACCCCACTGCTACGTAAGAAATAATTCCCCGGCTCCAAATGGATAATTTTCATCTGGGAATAAAGGCTGAAAAAAATCACAGTCCTTTTGAAAATACCCATACCTAATGGTACTTACTGTTTGTGATTTAAGCAAATTCCACTCTCCTCTCCTCCCCTCTCCCTCCCTCGTCTATTCCTCCTCCCCGTTGCAGCACTGTCTTTTAAAAGCACAGGAAAAGTGCGCAAAGCCCAGAGCAGTGAAGTTTTTCAAATATCACACAATATTTGATGTGTATTTTTGGTTTAACCGTTTGCATTTGATGGAGAAAACATACCTCATGATCCAAATCTTCTCGCTCATCACTCATTGATCTCGTAGTCGAGACAAATGCAGGCATGGGAGAGTAGATATTCGCAGATTCTGCCATACATTGTAATCGAATAAGCGTAGACGTTGTAAGACGAATCCATTCTGCACAATCTTCGCTAAACCGACAGTTATGAACAGGATTTTATAAAAAAAAACACACGCCTGCACATGTCTTACACTGCCAGAGAAAGTAGAGGACAAGCATTTTGCGGGCATGCCACAATACAACCGTTCAAGATGCCCTAGTAGAACTTAGTCTGTGAAACAGCGGGATTTCGAAAAACTTCAGAGTTAAATTGTTTCGAACTCGGCCACACAAATGAAACATGTTTTCTGTGAAAACTCACAGAAATAAAGGAACTAAAAATTTTTGCCCCGGCATACCCGACGCATTAGCGGATCCAGCGGAGTGGGGTTGGGTCTTTTGTACCCTCAGCGGCACACGTAGTAGTGCTAAAAGTGAAGAAAACTCTCTTCGACACCCCTCGTCGTCCCTCCTCCCTCCCCCCCCACCCCTCGCGTTAGGAAGGATGAGTGGGAGGGGGGGGGGGG